CTCTGTCAGTTGCACCCTCTGCCCATACACACAAGCTGCAGACAGAATCCTGGCAACTGGGCTTCCCAAATGCAAAGGAGTCCAAGGGCCTCATTTATGCTCCAGTCACAGATGGGTCAGAGCAGTGGCTCTCGACCTTTTCTTTTTAGCAACCCTCAATTCCAAGAGAAGAGCTTTCCAGACCCCGCCATAAAGAAAAGGAAGGCAGGCACGCTCCACAGACTGACAATTCCTCCATTATGCAGCCTATTTATATCAACAGCATCACCTACAATATCACTGTAACCCACTAACCCTGTAATAATATGGCTTGGTTTTGCCATTTCAGAACCAGATCTTTAGCGTACATCTAACACAATTTAATCAGGCCTGTGCTGGCAAAATGAGATGAAAAAGGGCATCACAGTGGTGTAACGCTCCCTAACCTCTTCCATAGGGTGAAGGAACGTACAGGTACTCCACACGTAACGTCGTCCCAGCTTACGTTGTTTTGTTATTGCATCACTGATGTATTAGACAACATACTTGTTTAAAGTGGACCCGCTGATCTACAAGGTCCCTTCTAGCCCCTAACAATCTATGAAAGTCGCACAACGTTCAGTTAAAATGTTGTTTGGCTGCTGCCTCCTAGCAGGTAAGTACTGTGACTTAACTAACTGGATTTGCTTAACATTGTTTTGCTTAAAGTCACATTTTTCAAAAGCATAACTATGACGTTAAGCGAGGAGTAGCTGTATTTCTGTCCCAGCAGGTGCAGGAAGTCTCTTGCTGTCACAGCCCCTCCAGTGGGATTGCCAGTATAGGTGGGACTTTGGTACATTCAGACTGTGCCACTACCCTGCTCAAAGCAGCCGTTAAGGATGCTGCAATGAAAACACTAGCATTCCCATCTTTGCTACCAAGAGGGAAGCTGAAGCAGGAGGAAACACAGCTGAGGTTTACCAACATGGGCAAATCTCTGGTGCAACCAACAATGCTCGACACCAGTAAGGCTGCCCAGCAAAGGCTCTGACCTCTTCTGTACCCTGGCTGGCAGTCCTGGGAGAATGCAGGACTAGCACATTCTGCCCCTCTTAACAAGGACCTTTTCTAATCCTGCTCCCCTCCTCATCCCCAACAATGTATTTTGGCCCATCCTCTAGGACCTGCTGCATTAAAGCTCCACAGCCCCCAGTACATGGGCTGCTGGTAAAATGGAAGTTCAGCCTTCAAAGCATACATGATAATAACAAAGCAAACTTCTGCAATAGGCTGTGTTGGAAAAGTGCAGGGGAAACAAAGATTTACACAGACAATCCTCCCTACCCAAGCTAAGGAGTATAAGGAAACTTGAGACCCTTGCCCTTCTCACCTGAATGACTGGGTCAACAGCTTTGTCCCATCCCCTGAAAGGGGCAGTACCTAATCTGGTCTGACCCTCTACTGCCTTGTACCCTGTGTAATCATTTGCACCAATGCAGCAGATGCTACCAACTGCTACCAGGAGAGAGTACTCTGCAGCCACACCAAGCAGATGGCGGAGACTGCACAGGGGAAAGCAGGGACCTGTCGTCCCTCCCCTACCCCCATGCCCAGTCCTCCAGGGCCTTCACTTGCAGGACACAGGGCCTAGGGCTACTGCAGGTCAAAGCAGCCCCCACCCCCCCACACTGTGCGGGGAAGCAGGAGGTAGGCAGGTGACAAGCTTCCCAGTGTTCTCATTAGGATGGACCCGTTTTAGCTTCTCAGCATACAAGGGCCACGCTCTTGCCTTTATCATGCACGGAGCAACCACACGTTTCAGTCTGAAAGAATTTATTGTATTGGGAGAGAACAATTAAACCTGGAGTAACACAAACAACCTCCCCAGGGAGAACACTGAGCACTGTCTCCATGGCAGGTCCAGGAGGCCACAAATGGCAGCTGTCTCTGCAGCAACAGGAGAAAGAAGAGGGGGGAAGGGAAAGTCTTTACCCTTAAGGGCACAGCGCACAGAAAGCCAACCAGAACTGATACAAGCAACAAGATACACCCCTCCAAATCCCCAAGCTTACACAGGCTGAAGGGAAAGAGGTAAAAGAATATCAAGCCACCAGTCTCCTCCTCAATGTTTACTAAAGAAAATCTTTGTCTCTTCCTGCACAATGCAATTTTATATGCCTCATATGCTTTTTCACCCCATGCAATCACAGTGGTTAGGGCCAACTCTGCTTTACTTCCTTTGATTTAATCTGGAACCTTAACTCCAAATAGATGTTACACTCACAACAGCAAAACAGAAAAATTGTTTTGAAATAGAGATCTCCAGCTTGCGGGACAAGTTTTTCTCTATGAAACAGCCGCTTTGCAAAACAGCACTGGAATATGTGGACCCTAAAATAAAACGATTGCTTTATTTCTGGCCCTAGAAGGATCATCCCACTGTAGAAGAGGATCCTGTAGCACCAGAGAGAGAAGGCTGATGATTTTATGCCTCTCTTCCTCCCTTCTGTGATCAGGGTAAGAGACAGGTAGCCAGATTACACTGCTGGGATGCCCTTATGCTACACAAATTCTTGGTTGCAGCCTTCAGGACTCTAGCTCAGTGAAGAGGGGGACCCTTCACTGAGCTGGGGAATTTGTGTAGCATAAGGGCATCCCAGCAGTGTAATCTGGCTACCTGTCTCTTACCCTGATCACAGAAGGGAGGAAGAGAGGCATAAAATCATCAGCTTTCTCTCTCTGGTGCTACAGGATCCTCTCTATCTGCAGGAGCAAGAGAATCAGGAAAGTGAAATACAGACTTGAAGTCATCTGCCACACTTGCCCCAAATTCTGCTACCTGCACTTCATCCATAGCGCAGTATCTAAACCTATGTGCATAGGTCCTTAGGGCAAATATAGATCTTCCTCAAATACAGGTCTATAAGCCTATACATTTTTTTGCCATAAATCAATATTATTAGACACTTTCCAAACTAATTACATACTCAAAATTATTCACAAGAAATAGCAGTGTAACTCCTTTATAGAAAAATCCATTGTCCGTTAATAAATCTATTACTTTTAAACTTATCCACAATAATTAATTTAAAGGAACATGATTAGATACCAGCATCAAATTAAGAAAACAATATAAAAACTCCAGAATCCAAGAATTAAGTCAAGGTATTGCACAGAGCTTAAATCTACAGGGCTTTTTTAATACTTTATAAGGAGACTGTATTTGTATGTCATATTAAGATTTGGTATCTTCAGGTATTCACTCACATTTTTAATGTGGATGGTTGTTATAAATAATTGATTGTTATACATGATAAAAAGGGGTTTAGTGAACTTGATGGTCATTTAATTTTTTTTTTTTTTTGGTTTTGGAGATAATTTTAATACTATCCAAACATTTATACAGATAAATTGTCAATTTAAATCCTAGCTATATGTAATTAAACACTCAGAAAATCTTCAGAGAGATGCATTTCTCTCTCTAGAGCAAGAACAAATTATTCTGAGTAGCCGGTTTCCTTTGGCTCCAGGTCAAACTGCCTGTTGTGCAAAACAAGCCCATGATCACTAATCTTTAAAATGTAATCTTCTAGGCATACATAAAGGCACCATGTACTAACTTCCTATATCATGTTATAGCACTTGGCAGAGTAGTGCTTTCCCTGTTACACTGTTTTGCCTTTGGTTTAAGTATTTTTTAACTCTTCATCACAAAAACATCCCCACAGAATTTAACTGTGGATCCTCATATGTAACAAACATGGACACCTCCTAAGCCACTGGTAGTCTATTCTCTCCTTGATTCAAATACTGGGAGCACCATTCCTTGAGTGTTATTTATACAAGCAGCACAAAGAAATCCAAATCCATGTCTGGCATAAGCAAGTGTAATTCTATTAGTTGTGCCTGCTTACACCCAGTCTGGAATCGTCCCAGTTGCTTAATTATTTGTCCTACCCCATGTTACAATCCCTCTCACCCCCTAATCATTTTTATTTTGCTTCCCTGAATGTCCTCTGGTATGTCAACATCTTTCTAATCCTAAAATGCCCTTGAACTGAATGGGCATTATTCTAACTATGGGATCAGCAAAGAGGAATACTATTTCCCTGGTCCATAAAAATGGTGTCCCCTGAATACACAACCCAAAACCAGAAGTATATAAATAAAGAAGACATATGTTGAACTGTAATCTATTCCAGAGATGGTGGATTCCCCAATACTTGACCGTTCAGCAGGTCCTCTGTAAATACACGCTGTTTGATTTTTTTTTAGTTTTCTCTCTCTTTTATATGCTGCTGCTGCTGCTACTTCTTTTTTGCTCTTCCAATCAACATATGAACAATGAGTGGCTCTTACTGTGTATTCAACAATGAGATGAGTGGCTCAGATCTTAATACACCAGTTTTGGGAAACTCTAGCTGACTACAGAATAGTCAATATAGAGTAACTTTCTAGGACTATTTTTGTTGTTGGGTCATTACCAATGTGATGTTACTATTTAAATCTGCTTAGGCCCACTGAAAAATACCACAAGGTGACTATCTGCAGCTTGAGCCACCAAAATAACTGATAGAGTCGTTGTGTGAAACCAGACAACAGCTACGCACCAGAACAAACTCTGACAGCAGAATTACAGGAGAGGAGTATTCCCAGTATCACCAGTGGGAGAACGCTTTCCACAGAACCACCAGCCCTTCTCTCGCTTCAATGCCCTACGTCCTCAAAGGAAATGTACACAATTCCTCCGGAAGACTAGCCTAGCAACAAAAATACATAACTTTTCTGGACATCAAAAAAATCACATGCTTAACAAAGGTGTTTTTTTATGGCTCATTATAACCACTCTCTCACCTTGACCTCTGCTAACTTCCTTTCTCCCACTTCCCTTTCAAATTTATAACACATAATTAGGGTAAACAAAAGCAATTGTTTTAACTTAACTTGGACTGTGGCTATGTCTTTCCCAGACCTGATGAAGGGAAACTGAAACACAAAACCTTGTATACTCTCCCTCCCAATAAAAGCTACTACCTCACCTTGCAAATCTTGCTTCTCTTAAGTACTTTGAAAATCTTCCCCATGATGACTGGAAATAATCCTTCAGTTCACTAGTTACTGTTAATATTTCCACCATCTAATAAACCTAATTTTAATTAAAAGCATGTTTTGATAAGGAAATAAGACCTCGTATATTCAACATGTTAGTGACATTATTTTAACTGAGAAAACTACATTTCAAACATGCCATTACCAAACATTTTACTTTCTTTTAAATTTTCCTCTATCCAGAGACCTAAAATAAAAAAAAATCAAGAACATCAGTTATGCATCATTCACCCTTTCCCACCAGCAAAATGTCAATGTGAAAAATCCCAATAAACGCATGTTGAGCAATAATGAATTAAGCAAGTATGCATTCATAAAACCTAGCCTCCTCAAGCCCCTCAGGACCAGCTAGTGCAGAGGTGGGCAATTATTTCGGGCGGAAGCCTGCTTACTGAGTTTTGGCAAGCCATTGAGGGCCGCATGACAGGCAGGTCAGGGCAGATAAATATTAATTTTCTTAATAGAAAGATAGATACAGATACAGCATGTATTTACAGAGAACAGGAACCTGCTGAACGGTCAGACAGAATGGCTTGGAGGGCCGCATCCGGCCCCTGGGCCACATTTTGCCCACCCCTGAGCTAGTGTCTCTAGCTGTCACCTTGCCTTACCTCTGCCTAAATTCAGACTAACATGTTTAACCGTCTCTGAGCCTATCCTCCTGGTTAGCAAAAAGACTAAGATGCAGAGCATATTTGGTTGCAAATCAACGTGTTGCAACCTCTATACCAGTGATTCTCAATGATGGTGTACTGAGATGCATTTAAGGACACCACAGATAGCCATGCAATATTAGCACTGCAAACGCCTACACGTGCTTTGTAAGAAAAACCCAGAGATTTCAAACAGGAACCCAACGTGTCCAAAACTTTCTGCCCTTTTGTGGTCTTCCTGAGTTCTTTGCAACAGAAGAGTTACTCTATTATTTTTCTGTAGCAAAAAACAAGAGAAAGCTAAGAACTGGCATTGTTCCAAGGGGTGCCTTGAGTCTAACAGGGTTGAGAGCACTGATTTATACTAATGACCGTAAAAAAGTTTTCTACAGGAAAATAACTACAGAATATACATGCCAATCAGATTTAAAATGATTAAATCAGGATTCCCTGCCCTCTAATCTGAATCACAGTTAAAAATGCAGATTCAAATCACTTTGATTTGAACTTAAGCATCCTGAGTCCCTCTGGTCTTGAAAACAAACCATTTCTTTCCTCATTTTTTTTCACCACTGCTTCCACCGGTGGTACCTATGGTGGGAACACTGGTACCAACTGGCCACTGCCACATCTACCATTTTGCCCAGACCTGCCTGAGCACAGGATGGCAGAACAGCCACACGACAGATACTGCCACTGAAAGTTCAACCCCTCCTGGGTGTGAAATCTTGAATGCAATGGCTACTGGAACCACTGGGAGTTTGCTGTCAGCTTTAACAGGAGTGCATCTGACATGAGCGGTCGGCTCTCAGGAGCTGGCCCATGTGCTCCGACATTTCCTATGGGCTGGTGTCAACACCCTGCAAAAAAGGACATCGTAGGACACCCCGCTAGAGGGGTGACTGAGCTGCCTCTAGCTGGTTTTAATCCAGGCTCCAACTTGAAACGCGCGAAGGTTCCCAGGCACTGGCCTAAACATTCAAACCTGGACTGCGACATGGGCAAGAGCCGTTTCATTTCTCGTGCCGTGGCTTGCGGGTTTGATCCACGGCGCAGCGCCACGTGCAGCAAGAAGGCTGCATTCACACAACCCACCCGCCCTGCCCATCTCTGTACAGCACCGCCTCCACCACCACCACGACGGCCCCAGGCAGGCTGTGCCTCACTTTGTCTTGGGACACTGGCACGGACACACGCGGCCCT